TTTGCATATGTACTTTACTTGAAGGTATGGATGTCAACCTTCGGTACAAAGTACCTGACGGCTTGCGACCGTTGTTGGAAGCACTGGCAAGAGAGACGTTGCGATCACAGCCGAAAGACATCGTGCGATTTGCCCAACTATTCTTTGAGGAGCTGCAACATCACAGAAAAAGTATTTTTCAGATTTTTCCGGGTTCTTGAGTGTGATTTTGTCCTGGAGACTTAATCGGGTGTTGAGAGGGTTTTAAGTAGGTTTAAAATTTCCTGTTTCGGGGTGTTTGCTCACTAGACCCTTCGCAACCGGGTAGCCATTGCGATCGCCTAATTCTCCAGACACAGTCAACCGTCCGCTAGAAACATCCAACGAGGGGTCGTATTCGGCCGACCGAAAAGGGGGGGGTCGTATTTGCAAGGATCAACGTCGCAATACGTAGGTGAGAGGCATAACTTTCGAGCGCTTCTCAACTACTAACTACCCACAAACGAGTGCATGGCGCACCTCAGAGCAGAAGAGTCCACTGCAGTAGTGTCCATATGTGACTGTTCACGTACACAAATATGCTTCTGAAGAGAACCAATGTCTTCAAACTGAACCTACGTTAGTAAAAGGGTGACCACTTGGGTAGATTGACTGCTAAAGGCTTACAATAAAAGTTTGGAGAAAAAAATTGCCTGTCGACGAGTTCCTAAAAAGAGTTCAGTATCTGTTATGAAGCACAAAGCTTGTGCGATGTCATGGTATCATTATCCCCATAAAATTGAGTTTGAAGAGAGCTGTGAGTGTTTGAGTGTTGAAAACTCGTGTTTTCAGGAGAGTAGCTCCGAAAATTCATGAAAAAAAACGGTCCAACGGGACGATTTTTTGAACGGGTCATTTTGGAAACTAGTTCAAGTATTCATTAGAAAGCTCTAACCTTCTAGTTTCTTCCAGGGGACAAGAACTGCAAAAAGTTGAATCTGAAGAAAGTTATAACAGTTCAAAGCCAAAAAACCAGCGCTCTGCCAAAAATCGGTCCGCGATTTCCCCAAAACGGTCCAACGGGGCGATTTTTTGACTCCATCAATTTTGAAAAGAGTTCAAGTATTCGTTAGAAAGCTCTAACCTTCTAGTTTATCCCAGGGGGACAATAATTGCAAAAGGTTCTTTCTGAAGAAAGTTATAGTCATTGAAAGCCAAAAACCTGGTTGTGCACAAAAAATGGTCGAACGGGACGATTTTTGGAAGAAATTCTCTACCCCATAACTGAAAGAGCTCTGGAGATACTACATAAATGTGGTTTTTTGAACCTATCAGTCTCTAAGATTACAAATCTACTTGGCGTTTTGAAAAACATTGACGCTGAACAGAATTACACTCTTTGAAAATTAGTAGTCTGCCTTGGTCTATCCGCGCTGGGCCGAGTAGAAGATTGTGCGCGCCAATGCAAACGCGACGCTACCGCGCTCAATCTGGTGTAACGCTCGAAATAGTAGTACGAAGTAGTACGCAAACACACACACACAATTACCAAGTGTACAGTACACAATAAGTGTTTGGGGGGGGGGTACTCGTAAAATTTTCGGAATTGGTCCAACGTGACGGTTGACCTTGCTTCCGGAGAGCATTGCCTTGCATTTTTCATCTCAGATGTTCTCTGGAGATTTCAGCCGTAATCTATTTTTGTCTAAAAAGAGATCTAAAATTGCAAATTTTCAAGGTTCTCTGAAATTAAGAGGCTTCATCAAAATTCTCTCATTTCGGTGGTGGCAATGCAAAATTTCTCATCTCCTCGTATAATAGTGCGGTGACCCTTTCACTAAATAACTGCCGTCATACTTCTCGAAAGCCACAAATGGGTCCGGAACCGCTCAACGGATGATTGACCCTATTCCACGGATAGAATGGGCGTTACATAGTTCCATTTCGGTCTGTGCTGCAGATGAAGTTAGTGCATTTCTGCGCATCAGAATCTCCCACACAACATGAAACACGATTTAAATCCAAAATCTGAACTAGACCTTCCGGGTTTATGGCGGGTAATTTTGGTTCTGGGCGGCGATGACGCTCCTCATTCCCATAATCCAACACTTTGATATTATGCAAAAACGTTTCGATATCGAGACTAAAGACCAATAGTTACCA